GTGGGCTTAAACTTCATGGGACTTCAAGTCCCGTGAAGTTTTTTTGCCAAATTCAACCCAGTTTCAATCAGTTGGCTGAAACTTTTTGCCAAATTCAACCCAGTTTCAACCAGTTGGCTGAAACTGGGTCGAATTTGGTAAATATTTTGAAAATAGGTCGTTTTTTTACAAATAAGTTTCTAAAAAGGTCTAAAACAAAAATTTGTATATATATATATATATATATATTATATATATATATATAATATATATATTATATGTATAATATATATATATATATATATATATATATATATATATATATATATATATATATATATATATAATATATATATATATATATATATATATATCACTATATATAGAGAGGAGAGGAGAGAGAGAGAGAGAGCAGGTTAACTTATGTCAACTTCAGTGGACAAGAGACATTTTCACACCAAACTTTCTACACTCATGGTGTGTGTGTTGTATATATATATTATATAATATATATATATATATATATATATATATATATAATATATATGTCGCTTCATAATCTTGGCATGGATCCCTAGTATCGATCAATGGACTAAAAAGTTTGGTTTGATATTCTTCATGTCAACTTAATGTGACCATCAATTCAAACTTTTTATCCGATTGATGATACCTAAGGGATCGCATGCAAGATATGAAGAGACTATATATATATACTATATATACTATATATATCTATATATATAATAATATATATATATATATTATATATATATATGATATTATATATATATATTATATAATTATATATATATATAATATATATATATTATATTATATATAGAGAGAGAGAGAGAGAGAGAGAGGAGAGAATGGGTATGCTTGATAACCAAGCACAAGTTTTTGTGGCTTAAGTAGTGAGTTAGCATATTCTCCTCTACTCCATTGAAATACGTGGCCCACATTCACGAATGGGTTGGGGGTGGTTGGGAATTGGAATGAGTGGATTGGATTATGGGTTGGGGGTGGTTGGGAATTGGAATGAGTGGATTGAAATATGACACCTCACTACCAAGCATAAAATGTATATCCCCTCCGTGACCAAATCCATTTCTGTGACCTTCTCTCTCTCTCATCAAATCTCTATCTTCTCCCCCAAATCTCTCTCAGATCTGAGCACGAGAGAGGAGATCTTCGCTTCCCCCCGTCCTCGCCCATTTCATGGCCGCCGCTCGAGAGGAGATCCTCGCGAGTCCCTTCTGACCAGCTCTGAGCGAGATCCCCCCGTCCTCGCCCATTCGATTGAGGTTAGTTGAGATGGTTTTTGATCGAGAATGTGAGCGGTTTCTATTGCTAATTTCGCTCGAATTCATTGAATATGATTGAACTTTGTAGAGTTCCCATTAAGATGGGTTGCGCTGTTGTTTGTTAATCGAAATGGCTGCCGGCGGATTGATTTGGAGATTTTGAGGATGGCGTTTTGCGCGGATCAGAGGACAGCTAAGTTCACCTGAGGAATTTGTCGGTTTGGGGATTGAATCAGGGATTGGATTTTGTTTTTTGGTGTTCTTTGTGGTGATTTTTGATGCAGTGTTTCAAATTCAATTCTTCTGCTGCTCTGCTGAACATTCTGTGGTACAGGGTCAGAGAGAGAATTTGAGGGTTTTGAAGGGTTAGAGTTTCTTGCAATGTCTGCTGCTTCTTGTGCGAAGTGGATTGATGGGCTTCAGTTCTCGTTGTTGGTTTGTTGAACTCCATGATACTTCAATAAACAAGTGAACAGACATGGCATGTGCAATTTGATTTCTGCAGGTCAGAGAGAATAAAAAATTGGACTGTGAATTTGAACTTTTCAATAGGCTCTGCGAAAACTAGTTGAATATTGTTTTAATTTGTTACATGACACCAGTTTTCTACTAGTTAGTAAGTGAAGGAGCAGTGCATGTGCATTTTGATTTATGTAAGGTCAGATAATACTAAAAGTAACATCTTTATTTCCTGACTTCGTCCCTCTGTGAAATTCAAATCACTCTAAAAATTCTTTACAAAATCCACTTACACGAGGACAATACAGTCAAAAATCAACCAAACAAAAGCACCCCGCAAATTCTTTACAAAATCCACTTACACGAGGACAATACAGTCAAAAATCAACCAAACAAAAGCACCCCGCTCATGGAGAACTTCACGGGAACAGCCTCTCCAGGTTTCAAGTCATACGAACTTCAAAAGCACACAATAAATACGCTGCAATCAAAACTAAGTATATGTTTGGTTACTTGCACAGGAGTTGAATTTACTAATATGGACACAATAGTAAGATTGTGACATAGAACCAACAAGCAAATTTGGAAAAGAAAAATATATCTATGTGTGTTTACAGTATTAGAATGATGAGGATGCTAAGAAAAATGAACTACACTGAACAAAGCAGTCTCATTAATGAAATAATGTGTTCAAATGGTGTCAGTAATATGAAGACTACATAACGGGAAGGTGTCTAACAAATATAAAGCGAACTAGTTCACACCATTTGCTATGAATATGCACAAGTATACACAGAGAAAAAGAAAAAAATAAGCGTCAGGTATTATTTTGCCATCTGAGTGTGTTTTTATTATTTTTCCAATTATTATTCACCATTTGCTATGAATATGCAAACTTTTGTATCTGAAGCCGTGGATCATGGAGTCATCTTCAAGCAATCGTCATGTACTGTTGTGCCATTGTAGCAGGAGGGCTATACTCTCCAGATTTGGAACTAAGACGAACCCTGGTCGATTGTTTTTTGGATGCACTAATTGGAAAGTGACTAATTGTGGATTCTTCAAATGAGTATCTGATGAAGAGGAGTTTGAAGGTTCAAAGACAGAGCTTGTTCAGATGAAGCAGTGGAGCGCGACGCCGCAAGTTTCAAGAGCCGTGTCAAGTGGAGAAGTGCAGGAAAAGAGAAAGATTGAGATTGATATTATGGATTTGTTGAAGCTTATTATATTTGTTCTTTTAGTTGGTATTTTTATTGGATTTGTGCTAAGTAGGGTGTGAGAACGTATTATTGGATTTGTTATCAGTTAGTACTTTGTAAATAATAATGTTATCAGTTTGATGTTATTGGATTTGTGCTTATTATAATAAGTTGAAGCTATTAAGCTGCATTGGCGCAGTGCTGTACTAAGTTCTAGAGTATCAGGGGGTGGAAACTGGAAGCATCAGAGTCAGAGCTGGCACTGATATGTAACTTTTGTAAGTCTAGTATTATCTGGATTTGGATAGGTTGAAGTTGGAGGATTCTCATGTGAATCCCTGACTCTGTCCCGATTAAACAGCTAAATCATTGAAGCCATATCTATGTTCAACATAAGCTTCTCATTTCCAATTCACTGCAAGTGGGAAATTATTAAAGAGCTAAATGCATGGAGCCTCAGATGTTGCTTAGTTAACAGTTGGTGACATAGTTACTTTATTTAAACTTTAAACATTCATAGGATCTCCCTTGCTGGTTTCACTCCTCTCTTAATATGGATCATGAATATACTTCTTAGGAACTGCTATTAGAGCCAGTTTCTTAGAATTTGACTTCCTGTTTTGATTGATCTATGGAATTCCGCAAATTGACTTGTAGAACCTTATATAAGACCACCTTCCAATTTCTTCTTTCTTATAATATCTATATGTATGAAGACATTTATTTATGGATTGGTTTCTTGTTCTCATCCTTCTGAGTTATTATGACCGGCTAGTTCCTCATCATGTTGATCTTCTGATGCAACAATTAAAATAAGAATTTGATAATACTTAGTACAGCACTTAATAGCAAATGATAAACATATATGCAGCACAAATGTATCGACCATAATATAATACATCCAAGAACTCTCACAAATTAGATACATTTTCTTGTTTCAAAACAGAAATAATTACAACTCATTGTCCTCCACTTTGATACATTTTCTTGTTTCAAAACAGAAATAGTTACAACTCATTGTCCTCCACTTTCAGGCTCCAAATAGTAAGATATAAGCACACACAGCTAAATTTGAAGTCAGAAGTACAAAGCAGTAATCAGAAACTACAACATGCCCCTCTTGTTTTGGAAAAGAGTAGGAAATGTCCTCCACGAAGATATACAGATAGGTTCATGAGAGTTTGCAATCAGTACCTGTTCCTAAAAACTAGTCTTCTTTCCACCATAGAAAAAAAAATAACAGGAAAGAACCATACACAGTCTAATGTTCCTAAAAACTAGTCTTCTTTCCACCATAGAAAAAAAAATAACAGGAAAGAACCATACACAGTCTAAGCTACTTGGATGTTCTCTTTGCTAGTCCCATAGAAAAAAAAATAACAGGAAAGAACCATACACAGTCTAAGCTACTTGGATGTTCTCTTTGCTAGTCCCGGTTCTATTCATCATCTTCCTGGAAAAAATAAGTTCGAAAGTAAAATGAAAACGATCAAAACATAGAACATATATAATGGAACTAAACAGAAAAAACATCAAAATGCACATGCACTGCTCCTTCACTTACTAACTAGCAGAAAACTGGTGTCATGTAACAAATTAAAACAATATTCAACTAGTTTTCGCAGAGCCTATTGAAAAGTTCAAATTCACAGTCCAATTTTTTATTCTCTCTGACCTGCAGAAATCAAATTGCACATGCCATGTCCGTTCACTTGTTTATTGAAGTATCATGGACTTCTCAAGCAATTAAAAAACATCAAACTCGTAATTCAATTCCTTAGCTTATCTGACCTTACAAAAATCAAAATGCACATGCACTGCTCCTTCACTTACTAACTAGCAGAAAACTGGTGTCATGTAACAAATTAAAACAATATTCAACTAGTTTTCGCAGAAAACTGGTGTCATGTAACAAACACAGTCCAATTTTTTATTCTCTCTGACCTGCAGAAATCAAATTGCACATGCCATGTCCGTTCACTTGTTTATTGAAGTATCATGGAGTTCAACAAACCAACAACGAGAACTGAAGCCCATTAAAAAACATCAAACTCATAATTCAATTCCTTAGCTTATCTGACCTTACAAAAATCAAAATGCACATGCACTGCTCCTTCACTTACTAACTAGCAGAAAACTGGTGTCATGTAACAAATTAAAACAATATTCAACTAGTTTTCGCAGAGCCTATTGAAAAGTTCAAATTCACAGTCCAATTTTTTATTCTCTCTGACCTGCAGAAATCAAATTGCACATGCCATGTCCGTTCACTTGTTTATTGAAGTATCATGGAGTTCAACAAACCAACAACGAGAACTGAAGCCCATCAATCCACTTCGCACAAGAAGCAGCAGACATTGCAAGAAACTCTAACCCTTCAAAACCCTCAAATTCTCTCTCTGACCCTGTACCACAGAATGTTCAGCAGAGCAGCAGAAGAATTGAATTTGAAACACTGCATCAAAAATCACCACAAAGAACACCAAAAAACAAAATCCAATCCCTGATTCAATCCCCAAACCGACAAATTCCTCAGGTGAACTTAGCTGTCCTCTGATCCGCGCAAAACGCCATCCTCAAAATCTCCAAATCAATCCGCTGGCAGCCATTTCGATTAACAAACAACAGCGCAACCCATCTTAATGGGAACTCTACAAAGTTCAATCATATTCAATGAATTCGAGCGAAATTAGCAATAGAAACCGTTCACATTCTCGATCAAAAACCATCTCAACTAACCTCAATCGAATCAAACCTCCGAAACTCTGCAAAATTTAGAGTAAATTCATGTAATTCGAGCGACATTATCAAAAGGAATCGATGAAAGCGGCGGGGAAATTGAGCGTACCTGGTGAATTTTCCATTGATGGAGCTAGGTTTTAT